CTGCCAAGCTTCTTATTCAGCTTAAACGCTCATGCCTATCTCCTCTTTCTCCTTATTTAAAAATATGAGAAAGGAAAATAATATTTTAAAAATAGAGCGTATCCTGACCTAACATTCTCTGACTAGATTCTAGGCCCCTTCTTTCAGCTGAGTTTGAATCCTGGTTTCAGGATCTATGTTTGTAATTATTTGGATGTGCAGAAGACATTTCGCTTCATATTGCCTTGTTTTTGCTGCCTCCCTCCATTTGAAAAGTTTTTCCAGGTCTGTCACTGGTACAATAATCAGACTGCCTTCTCTATCCCTTTCCAATTTCAAACCACTTTAGAAGAAAATAACGAAAGCACAGAATGTGCATTGCTGATTGTGCAGATCATAGTCGCATTAGATTGCTTTTCCACAAAAACTCAGTCAGTTTTATTGTGAACGGTGCATACATTATAGGATGTAGTACAGTCGGCCAGAGAGATTTTTTTTTTACTGGATGAATACAATAAATTTCAGCTCACTGCAGGCCACAAAAACTTTGTTTGGCTTGTTATTCTTGAGCTATATTCCATTGAGCTACTAATTGTGACTCTTTTAAGACAGAGGTGGAGAATTATGGCCGCCTTATGACTTGTGGACTTCAACTCCCAGAATTCCTGAGCCAGCACGGCTAGCCCAAGAATTCTGGGAGTTGAAGTCCCCAAGTCATAAAAGGGGCATGGTTCCTCACCCCTGTTCTAAGGCAAATGAGAGAATCTATGCCCCTTCAGATTATATTAAACTAGAACCCCAAGCACATGCAACTAGCTTGAGAAACCTACCAGGAATTGTGGTTCAGCGATGTTTGGGATATCACAAATGTCTGCTCCAAGGTTTCACTCAAATGTATGCTCTGGTCCTGTCTGACAGTGCTAAAGACCAAATGTGTAACTATTGCTGAAATGTAGCCCCTTCAAGATTCTTATTCTAAGAAATAATGAAGCATCTTCAAGCAAACAACCAAACTAAGAGAGCACCTAGGATTTCACACTCCGTCTATTTCTGCCACCTTCAAAGTGATTTTTTTAAAAAAGTTTAAAAATACTACATAACAGCTTGTTTGCACATTTTTCCAATTATATGCAACCATATTCAATCAGTGTGCTCCAGATACCTAATGGATCCTGTTGAGTTCTAGAAGGGGATTGTATCTATGGCTTGATACATGATTGATTGAGATCACAGTCATCACTTGGAAGAGAAGAAAAGGGTGCCCATAGCCTTGGATTAGACTGTACCTAATGTAGTTTCTCTCTATCCATGAATACAAGAGAACTCCCTGTTTTTCAGAGGAACTCCTGCAGATGAAACAGCAGAAGAAACTTCTAACACCCTACAGAACACTGAAAAACAAATCTGATCAAATACCGGTAACAACCTATATTAAGGATCATTTAATTAATTGTTTTCACCACATTGCAGATTGCCATCTGGCAGTCTGATTTAAAATGAGTTGAAGGGGAAACTGATAAATAAAATCACTCAAATCCACTCTTGAGTTGGACTCCCAACTATGCAAGAACTGTGGTGTTAACTGAAGAAAGATCTTGTTTGGTAATCTGGTGGTACCTTGAACAGTTGGTCTCAAGAAACGGACACGATGCTCAGCGCTGTTAGTTTAGGCCACCCGTGTACTTGATAAGTGTCCTTGTTGTTGAGTCGGCGGCCATATAAATTTAATAAATAAATGACAAGGAAATCCATTATGATATTGCATATTTATATATTATTTTCGGCAATCTGCACGACTTGATTTTTGGATTTCCATCATTGTAAATCTTGAAATTGTTGAAAGAAAAGTCTTCATCGTGATTCAGTCCAAGCTGGGAATAAACATGGCGACTGCTTTAGGAAGAAGGTTGCAGTTTATTGAAGAGGAGAGCCAGACAGGAAGATAGCTCTGGCAGAAAAGAGAGTGAGCACATGTAGGGAGTGGGTTTTTATACCCTCTGGAGCCTTTTGTGTGTTAATCCTATTATGTCCTGTCTTAGAGTTTGGGTGGGGTATGTAGATTTTAGGAGTCTTTGTCTTCCTAAACTTCTAGCTTCGATCTTCCTGATAGTTTGCATCTGCATTCCTGTAGAGCTGGTTTCTGCTTTGGGGAGGGAGACAGAAAAACTGGGCATGCTTTTCTGCCTCTTTAAGATCCTTTGAGGAAATATATTTTTCTGCCCTTTTAATATTTCCTTCTCTGGGGGGGGGGGGCTGACTTCCCACAAAATGAAACCCAACATTCACAGACAAAAAAAAAATATCTGGAAAGATGGTCCTTAAGTATGAATGGGAAAAATTAGGTAAATTTGCATCATAATGCCAACTGAACAGATTTCTCCTCCATCTTTTTGACAAAGGGGACTCCAAGCAATGGGAAAACTAGGTTGCTTATAATACTGATACTACACCTAAATTTAATTTTATTTTTGAAGAATCCCATGAGCAATGTCAGGATATGAAACCCCAACCACAGGTCCAGAACAAGGTTTTTCCCCCCCAAATTTATCCTTGACCTCCACCCTTTCCAAAACAGAAATGATTGGAAAGATTCCATCAACCAGAAATGATTGGGAAGTGGCTCACATCAATGAATTTAGAATATCTCAAACTGACAATATTTTTTTTTACTTCCTTAAACAAGCTTTCTGAACTATAAGAATATTTCTGGTTCTGATAAAACAGAACAACACTGACATCTTATGGAATAAAGAAGCTACTGCAAGGTTGACAATTAAAAATAACTGATTTTTTTTAAAAAAGAAAAGAAAACAGGGTCATCATTCCAGGCACAGCAGTCCTAACATATGTTTTTAAACAGTTCAAGACCTATTTAGAAGCCTGCTCTAATTTTATTTTGAAATCACTCAAACTGAGGCTTGTCAGTTCAGGCAGAGAAAAAAAAAACACAGCTGCAAATGCCAAATATAATGCCAAATGAACAGAAGCAGGCAAGAAACAAAAAGTTTCAATAAATATCTGGAAGAAGGGATAAAAGGCATGGTGGCATTGGATAATATTAACGGTGTTTCCTAGAAATCATAATAATTAATTTAGTCACAGCAAAAATGAAATTAGGAGTTCCTATGCTGACTCAGGAATTCTGGGAGTTGAAGTCCATGAGTCATAAAAGAGCAGAGGTTGCCTACCCCTGGACTAGAGGCACAGAGAGCTGCATCATATATGGAAGAAAGTTGGTTTTATTAGTAGGAAACAGTTCATTTTATCTTTCATTTTGTCTTTGATCATGTGCATTTCTGTAGATAAATTCTGTTACATATAGTGCAACTCCCCCTCCTGTTTTTGTAGACCTGTTTCTTTTGAACAATTTGTATCCATCCATCCGTCCATTCCATTCATGGGTTTCGTCCCACCAGGTTTCTGTTATGCCAATTTTGTCATATTAATTACATATTGTTTTATTTCTGGCTCTTTCTCCTTGGCTCTGTTTGTTCTTCAGCTTAATATTCGCTAAGAACAGCTGTATCATGAGTATTTCAAGACACAGTCATTCCTTGGTCACTGAAGTCATCAACATAAGAATGAAGGAACCAGGACCTCACCACCCTCACCCAAAGCATCCCAAAGGGCTCCTTTTCTTTGATATCTGAAAGGCATGTTACTGGCTGCAAAGCTTCCTTTACACAAAACACCACCTTGAAAAATAGCTTTAATTGGCTACTTCTTAGTTTATTACATTTGCTACTACAAAAAAATTGTATTTTTAAAAACAATACTTCCCTCTTCAGGAAAATGATTGAATACCATGAAGATTCCACTAATGCAGGCATGTCAAATTCACGACGTCACGTGACGTTGCACAACGAATCGGGCCGGTTTTGTCATTACCAGCTATGGGGAGGGTGCGGCTTCCATGTGACGTGTCCAGCCTACGGGCTGGCAGTTTGACACCCCTGCACTAATGTGTAGTTTTTTTGCTTTCTTTTGGCTTGGTTACATTTTCAATTCCATGTTGCACCCCAATTTTCCCTCTTGATTAAATAAAACCTTCAAAATAAAAATTCTGTGCCCTCTTGCTGAAGGAAAGCCTTTGTTATAATGTGAAATTCAAGGCAGGCCTCAAAGGTATCTTTGGGAAGGAAAGAATATAAAGATCTCTAGTTTTATGAAATTTCCTCCACAAAGAGAAAAAGCTCACAATGTAAACAGAGAAATAAATAATACAATAGACGGAGCTCCAACTAGGAGAATCAGATTATGTAGTATTCATAAATGTAATGTATTGTACGCTTATACATGCAATAGTTTTGAAATTCTACCAGAATCACCAAGTCCCTTAAATTCTGTTGTAGGAAAGAGGTATGTAAAAGGGGAATTTCTCCACTGGACTCTCCTTCTATTTAATAAGATAACTAGCCTCTACTTTTTCTCTAAAAGGAGTACATAAAAAGAAAGTTGTGAGTGTGATAAAACCCATTTACATTCACCAATGCCTCAAGCATCATCTGGACGTTTTTATTCTCAACCCTCCCAAGTTAAAGCATGATTTGTTATATAAAACTATACTCCCACTGGAGTCAGAGACATCCCAAGGGAGCATTGTTATGACACTGTGAATTTCAAATATCTCCATCATCCAGATAATCAATTCCATTAGCTATCCACTGTCTAAGTTAGTTATCTTCTAAACCAGGGATAGGCAAACTTGGCTCTTTTATGACCAAGGTTGCCTACCCCTGTTCTAAACTATAGGTACTCCAGACTAAATAGGGACAGTTTCTATAAGTGTTTTCAGTTTTTCTATAGCATAGCTCCAGAAAATTGTAACTGTAATTGTAACTGTCCAATTGCCCATAGTCATGCAACTGTTTTCTACATAAAGAACACATAATGCTGGTTCAGGCCCAGAAAATCTGATAACCAGCATTACCAAAATTTCCATTTATGCTACCAGATTTTGTTTATTCATCAAGAACAAGAGAGAAAGAAGCAACAGCCCACTCAAGGCTTAACAAACTTACCAAGCTATTCATTTTAGATGACGAGGAACTTGTTCTCTGTTTTCTTAAACAATTCATCTCTTCTGGGTTTCCATCCTTTGGCTTTAAGATCATCCGACTGTTCCCAGCGGTGCCTTCGGAGGAGGATCTTAAACGCTTTTCGATGAATCTTCCTTCTCGAAATGGACTAAAACTACTGGGAAGATTCACTGTGAAGTAAGATACACAGGCATATTTACAATCATCATCAGTGCTGCAAGCATCACTCAGAAATGTTTCTTTTAGTCAAAAGTGCATTACTTGGAAATTAACGAGTTGCAGCCAATTAAATCTTGATCTGGGTTTCTTACATAGCTATTGGAAAATCATGGCCCATACACTGGCAACCAAACAAACCAATGGATCATTGAATAAATCTACTCAGAGTTTTCACTCAAGGCACAAATTACCAGGCTCAAATGATTCTGTCAGACACATTACATGAAGATCCACCTCTGTGGAAAAGGCTCTAATGCTGGGAAAGGTGGAGAAGATGAAGAGGATGATCAGCAGGAAGTTGGATGGACCTGGTTATAGTGGCAATGAGCGCACAATGGGAGACTTGAAAGAAAAAGTAGAGGGATACATTGTCATGGAGAAAATCTGTTTATGTGATCAAAAAGAAGATGAAAACAACTAGATGACACATAATCAATCAATTACACTGGAAAGAGCCAGCAGTATATGCTGAAAGGCGCCATGAACTAGCTTTAGTAATATTTCTGAACCCAGTCATTGTGACTTCTTCAAAAACAAGATGGTTAAAATAAATGTATGGCTTAATACAATGTGTAATGCCAGCTGTAACTTCTTGAGAAGATGGCAAGAAGCAACAATGCAGTCTTCTTCAAACTACTGCTTTTAATACTACTGGAATATTGGAACTATAGTTCTTTATTTTCTCTGAACATGACCTAGTATCTTTCCTAGATATTTTGTAATTACAGTCCCAACACATCTAGTGAAGATGATTGTAAGAAGTGTTTGGGATCCTTAACGCAGGGCTTTTCAACCTTTTCACCCATTATATCACTTTTAGGATATGGCAATATCCGAATACCACCAGTCGCCTAGGAAGGTGTCAAAAACTTGATGACCAAAAAAAAAAAAGGGAAAAAAGTGATAAAGTGCAGGTAGTCCTCGACTTACAACAGTTCGCTTAGTGACTGTTCAAAGTTACAATGGCACTGAAAAAAGTGCCCCCCAAACCACAGCCAAGCAAGACACCTGCCTGCCCACCCGGCGGCGCTCTTCCTCCTGTCCGAGGTTTTCATTGCTGTGAGGATTGGCAGCGGGGGTGGGGTGGGGGGTGTTTGGTTTTTATTCCCCCCATCTGCTGGGTGGTTGCAGCAGGTTTTGGTCACTTCACATGACCCTGCGACACTGTGACCATCAAAAATATGAATCAGTTGCCAAGCATCTGAATGCAAATCACAAGACCCTGGAGATGCTGCATCGTTCCAGCTGATCGGCGCTTCTTCTGGGCTCAGCAGAAGCACCAGGATCAGTACAGAGCTCCAGCTGGACCCTGGCACTGATCCTGGCACTTCCACTGAGTCCTGACAGTCCCGAACAAGCGCTGATCCTGGCGCTTCCGCTGAGCCCTGACAGCCCTGCAGCTCCAGCCATCTCTCGCTCAGGCTTGTGCGGTGCTGCCAATGGTTCAGCTCATTCCCCTCCCCCACTACCATTTTTCTAGGATGGTCACGTACCACCTGCCAGGTGCCAATGTACCACAGGTGGTACCCATACCACTGGTTGAAAAGCCCTGCCTTAAAGCATAGAAGTGTGATATTCATATGAAGTCTAAAACACTTATTCCATATAATTTTCAAAGCACTCGCAGTCCTAATCTGTGGGAGTGCACTTGTTAATCCCCTTGATTTCATCACAGGATTTAGAGTGATACACATAGAAATAAAAGCCTCGAGTGATGGTATAAACCCATATTCTTTTCCATGAAAATGAATTTTGTACTGAGACACCTAGCATCACTTTTATCATGTTACTATCCTAAGCTTTTATTAGTTCTACTGAATCTACTTTATCATATGCAAAAATAAGATACAATCATATCTAGGCATCAAATGTATTCTGTATATTCAGTTGAGAAAATCAGTATGATCTAAACTTTGAAAATAGATTATGTCATTGTTGGTAGTAACACATCTGTCTATAACAATTTAGTGTAAGTAAACATTTTTTCAGCTTTGGAAGAAGAAATTCCAACACAAATGCCCCATAGTTCAGCTGCTCTGATATAGGAATTGTAAGTTTTATATGCTTAAAATGTAGTCATTAACTTCCCAGTTAGGATTCCTCAATAATAAGTGATTAGCATAGCACAAGAGATCACTGGCACACCTATTCACAAGCCTTCTACACAACCTTTCATTTATATGGACTATGTTGCAATATCTGCAATTCAGTAAACCAAGTAAGTCTAACCATGTCTGGAATAGATTAGAGTCTAGATAGAAAAATATATTTTGATAAAGATGCAATAAGCATAAAATATATGTGTAACAAATGCAAAATTAATGAATGTTAAAGAGTATGGAAAGAGGCAATGTGCACATTGTGAATGTGAGTGTACTTTATAAATAGGATCACTAAAGCAGGAATATTATCATAGTGGGGGGGGGGGAATGGCATAAAGGGGCATTATAATGAAAGAAGTTGGGTAATATTATGCCAATAATTGCACTGTAGTATGTGATACCTATAACTTTCAAAGGATAAGCAAAATGGATAATGGAATTTCAAGAATAGGTTAGAGATAAGCAAAAGGATGGAATTAGAAATCCGTGGAATATATTGAAGTAGAAACCCACTGTGTTACAAATCACAGTTAAAGTAGAAGAATGAAATCAGTTTTATTTTTGATTATCATTTTCCTCCAATATATCTCTAGGCATTTCTGTCTGATTTTAAATGTGACCCCTTAAACCAACAAATTAAATAGGAAGGACTTCCAACAAATCTTTCTGAATGCTTATTTTAGGAAGTAGTAGCATTCACCACTATGTACAGGTTGTCCTCGACTTAAAACCAAAACTTCTGTTGCTAAGCGAGACAGTGGTTTTGTGAGTTTTGCCCCATTTTACGATGCTTCCTGCCACAGTTGTTAAGTGAATCACTGCCGTTGTTAAGTTAGTAACACAGTGGTTAAGTGAATCTGGCTTCCCCATTGACTTTGCTTGTCAGAAGGTCGCAAAAGAAGATCACATGGGACACGGCAACGGTCATAAATTCGAGTCAGTTGCCAAGCAGCTGGATTTTGATCACGTGACCATGGAGCTGCTGCAACAGTTGTAAGTGTGAAAAATGGTCATAAGTCACTTTTTTCAGTGCTGTTGTAAATCGTGGAGTACCTGTACCTTTAAAAAAAACTAATATTTTTGTAAACCCAAATAATTTGGAAAGTAACACTGATTTATAAGAACTCTCATTAGTAACTTAGAGCAGGGGTCCGTCAACCTTGGCAACTTTAAGACTTGTGGACTTCAACTCCCAGAATTCCTCAGCCAGCATAGCTGGCTGAGGAATTCTGGGAATTGAAGTCCACAAGTCTTAAAGTTGCCAAGGTTGACGGACCCTGACTTAGCCCAAAAAGTATCATCTTCATGACATGCCAAGCATAAATGGTGCTATCTAAATATTATTCGTACATACACTAATTGGAAGAAAACACACTTATATAAATGAACATTTTTCAGAAGACAGCAATGTTTGAACATACATACCCTTTGCGTGATTTATGTCATTTGCCTGCTGTGTTTGAAAGGACTGAGGTTCAGAAGACAAAGGAGTGGTCTTTGATTCGGTTTCTGGGAAGATTTCTCTAGCATGTTCCGATATTCTTGCTTTTTGTTGGTCCCTCTGTAATCCCTGTGCTTTTGGAGAACTTTCAACTGTTTCTCCCTGGTTTAAGACAAAGGTTTTTAATTGTGCTTTAGCTCCTGAGTTTACATCTTCTGGATGGCTGGCCTGTTTCGCAAAGAGCTCTGGCAATAACACTTTTGTATGTTTTCGATTTGAATCAAGGATTTCTGAGAAAGCACTAGATTCACTGAGCAATACATTTCTAGCCCTGTAAGTTTCAGCACAAGGGGAAATACTTTCTGTAAGGTTTGTTTTCCTTGAAAGAGGAGAAGCAGCAAAGGTTTGAGAGGTAGACACATTGTGGGCCAAGGCTTCTGGGTGCAAGTTTCCACAGGTGGGCAGCCCATCAACCTCAGAAACAGAATCCTCAGTCAGGGCTAGAAACTCAGATGGTGTCTGCACAGTGGTCAGATCAGCAGAAAGCAAAGAGCTGCCTATACATTCTGAAGGAGAAGACTTTGCAGACACGGGATCGGTTTCAACGTTGGATTTAATTTCCAGCAAACAAGAAGATGGTTGAACGCAGGAAACCGACTGACTCTGAGGGACTGGCTTTGAGAATCTGTAGTGCGTTGAAAACGACTTGGGGAGAAGTTTCCTTGTGGAATGTTTAACAGAAGATTTGCTTTGGGTCTCTGTAAAGCCAGAGTCATCGCTTTCATTCTTCCCAGAACTTATGCAATTTATGAAAACGTTCTTATTAGTTGAGGGTTCCCTCCCTTTTTCAAAGTCCTCCGTCAAGGACCTCGTTATTTTTTTATTTCGAGAACTTCCAAAACCAACAGAATGTCTGCCTCTGGTTTTCACCTGTTCTTCCAAACCGAGCTTTTGCAAAGTGTTGTGGCCTGACTGTGCACCGTTCAAAATGCCCACATTCTGGCATGAAGAATCCGTTTTCTGATCGCTCCCCTTTCTGTGATGGAAGCTAATGGACGGTGTCCGGAAGAGGCTCTTGCGTTTGCCAGTGCTACCTGAGCTAGAATTGGTGCTGGAGGGAGAAGAACTGTGAACGCCAACAGTACTGTTGGAAGTTGGTGATGACGGGAGGGAATCATGTCTTCGGTTAATACTTCTCCGGAATATTGGCAAACGGGAGACAATGATTGAGCGCCTTGATCCTGAGTCACCCATCAGGACCCTGTTGTGCTTGGCTAGGCCCAGCCAATATTAAAATCTGTTTGGATGGAAAAGAGACATTATTTATTATGATGATATAAAAAGACCAATAAATTCATAGACACATTTCAATTTCTTAGCTACAGAAATGGCATTCAGAATCAACAGGTTTTTTTCCTCTATGAATTACAGTTAATGCCTCACACTTCTGAGGTAACAAGGGACTGAAATCAAATTCCTCAAACCATGTTTTAATGCTAGGGTCATCAGAATGAACAGCTGCAAAATGGAACTGAAGGCAATTCGTCTCAGAAATCAGGCAGTCTTTGTTTAGTGACCAAAATTGGGACCAGCAATTCAGTCATCAGCCACTAAGTAAAACCACAACTCTGTTTATGATCTTATTTCAGCTTTCCCTAGTGGTGCAGTGGTTAGAATGCAGTATTGCAGGCAAACTCTGCCCACAGACTGAAATTTAATCCTGAAGAGTCTAAAGGCTGACTCAGCCTTCCATCCTTCCGAGGTCCTAAAATGAGGACCCAGATTGGGGGCAATATGCTGATACTGTAAACAGCTCAGAGAGCGCTATAAAGCACTATGGGGTGATATATAAGTCTAAGAGCTATAGCACTCTGAAGGTCATAAATGTAAAGATTGGTTATAAAGGTACTTTTTTATCAGCATCATACCTGTGAAGAGTCACTATCTAAGGCAATCACTAAGCAAGGACTATCTGTACACATATTATAGATCAGTATCTACCTTGTCCTTGGAATCAGGCATCCAATTACCAGTATTTATTCCACATACAAGGCCTATGCTATGCTTTTATCAACCATCTCTCTATATATCTAGTGTCAGAGGTCCTTGCCACATCCCTGGCTCCAACAAGAAACAAGCCGTTGAGTTCACAGTCGGTCGGTTTATTTACGGTACGCTCTGGCATGCAGTATTCAAACAAACAGCAAAGTCAGTGCTGGGAGCAACCGCCTCCCAGCACTCTAAATAGACGCCTCCTGGCCGGCCCCACCCCCCACCCATCTAGCCAGCATCCGGTGTGAGCGCCAGTATGGCAGCAAGACAAGGAAGGAGGCAGGATTTCAGCTCCCCGCCATTTCTCCACATCGCTCAGCTGCTCAGCGGGACAGCCTCGCAGCTGCATTCCACAAGGTCCCCCTTCCAGCACACAGGTATGAGGGAGGGAAAGTCTGTTGCTACCATCTCTGCTGCTGGTCCCATTCGCTGCCTCCGGACACCTCCATCTGACGATCTTTTCCCCCCCCCTCCCCCTTCCTGTTAGTGGCAAGCCCACAGGGCTTGATAGGCAGCCCCCTCTACCAGGGCTCCACCCAGAAGGCAAGGAGAGACATGCAATCGGTCATTAACTACGGCGGTCAACCCAGTTAGCTTCCCCCCCCCCGGCTAAACTCCCTCCAGAAGCGTGCGGTGAATTGCACCCCCAGGTCCGATATTAACCACCGGGACACGCCGTGCAGGCAGTACACCTGTGTGATGAACATCTTTGCTAACTTCCGAACGGATGGCAACCATTTGCATGGAATGAAATGGGTCTGCTTGGAAAATAGGTCAACCACCATCCATACGACCGTGCACTCCTCCTCATCTCTGCTGCCTGCCTATTGGACCTGTTTCTTCTCTACTCATGGATGGAGAATGAGGAATTGTCCTTGCTCAACCTACTTATCTTTCATCCACTTCAGAGTGTCCTGTGACACAAGCACTCACACACAGTCAATCAAAATCTCTGCTATCCCTTCTAATAAAGCTATTCGTCTTAGCAAATATTTACTCTCCTTCATGATCTCTTACTTCAACCTTGCAAAGTTCATTTCCAGTTAGAAATTTTAATGGTCTTATGTGTTTATCTGAATAAGGAAATTATCATGTTTGTCTTCAGATTAATCTTGCAATGCAGTCTACCTAATACACATTTGAATGGAAATTAGTTATCACAGGACACTCCCACCTTGCCTTTTATTTGCTCTGATTGTGCAGTTGGACAGTGAAAAGCATGATAAATCTATTACATCTAAATAAATGCCTATGTAAACAAACCTTGGTGTTTTCATAGAAAATGGATTAGGAACCCAATTCCACTCCAGATTTGATAGTGTAAACCTTAAATCAGTATGCACAGTGTGTTTCTACCAAGTCAAAATGAACATCTTTTTCCTGTTCTCCAAGCCACCAATGTTTAATAAACTTTCTGCATCTGAGATTTACAGAGACCACCATAATAGGCAGGTTATCAAGCAATGTACAGTCATAATGCAAGATTGATGTGATGTTTAGCATTGTCTGGCTTAGTAGCTATGCAGACCTGCTCTTTTGGATAGAATCAATCCAAAAATCACTGCTGGAAAAAACAGAACTTACTTTGCTAAGCTCTGGAATCTCTTTATTTCCCACTGAAGAAATTAACATTATGTTAAAGATTTTCATATTCTGGTTTCCCATCGTGATCACTCATTTTTATGGCATTTCTCTGTGTACGCTGCTTTGCATCTTTTAAGTATTCTCATAAAAAATCTTAACAGATAAACTAGGCTGAGATAGCATACTTTCCAAGGAACTCCACAGCTAACTAGGGGTTTGAATTAATGCAAGATACCAAACAATATTGTCACAAAGCTCTTTCACTGACTGCCACAAGATTTCCCCAGTTGTTCATCTTCCAATTCTAATATAATAATTACTCTGTGCTTTTTTTTAATTCCACAAATTTCATTTTTATATCCTATATTGAAATCCCTATGTAATCTATGTTGTTTCAGAAGAGGAGGTTTCTCTGTATGCCTCAAGTTATTGCTTCTGTTTTTTTGCAGCTAAATAATTTTATATAAGTCACTGTAACCCTGTGGACAGATCTACCCATAAAACAAGCACTTCTAATCTCCCTGGAGACTACCACAAGGGAAAGACGACATAAAGGTAAGTTTGGGAAGACAGGAGGACTCAAAGACAGTAAGAGAGACAGACCGGTGTTACAAAGCCCTTCAGTCCATATCCTTGTTCAATACTCACTATACTGATTTTCCATTTAGTTCCCTGGTGATAGTCAATGAATGCTTTATTATTACAAAAAGACAGAAACTTAAAATGCCCAGACAATAATACAAGACACAATAAAACAGGCAGTAATATAAAAGCAAGAGAAGATTACTCTATGTATCCCATCTGTAAGATAATTACAATTTGGCTTGCATCCCTCATTATCCAAGGATGCATTCTAGGTGTCCCCATACAGCATTTTGCTACATTACAAATAACAAGAGAATGTGCACCTGATTGATGGATTGATTGGCTGACATATATATAGAGAGAGACTGTGTATGTGTGTGTGCACACGCACACACACAGTCATATGAAAAAAGTACACCCTCTTTGAATTCTATGGTTATACATATCAGGACATAGTAAAAACCATGTGGTATTTAGCATTTCTTAAAAGTAGGCAAATACAACCTCAGATGAACAACAACATATGACATATTATACTAGGGGTTCCCCAACCCCTGGTCCATGGACCAGCCTCGGTCCATGGCATGCCAGAAACCAGGCCACGCAAGCAAGCAAAGCCCCACCCGCAGATGCAGGCAGCCTACGAAACCACACCTGACCCCAGTCCACGGAAAAACTCTCCATGGAAGTGGTCCTTGGTGCCCAAAAGGTTGGGGGCTGCTGTGTTGAACCATGACCAAAATGGAACAGTCATGTGTGAAAATACACCTTATGATTCAACAGTTTGTAGAACCACCTTTAGAGCAACAACTTGAAGTATCTGTATGACTTTATCAGTCTCTCACATCGCTTTGGAGGAATCTTCTTTACAATATTGCTTTAGTTCATTGAGTATTTGTTGATGCACAACTCTCTCTCCTCATACCTATGGATGCAGTTAGGGTATACTTACTTACTTCACACATGGCTTCTCCATTTTGCCTTTCTTTTTATAAAAGAAACACAGGGTGGTCATGCATAATATCCTTTCCTTCCAGTTTTTCCCCACAATAACCCAATGAAGCAGTTTGAGATCCGACTGTGCAATCTTTTGGCACTCTACACAGAGAACTTTATCAAGGGTCAGTTTGCTCCCGGGGGGCCAGAGCAAAGAAATCCTTGAAAGCAATTTATTTTTTGTCAAATTGAATGCCAATGGTAAAAACATTGCAAAAAACACATTTTGAAGAAAGGAATTACACAGAGACAAACTGTGCAGATGGAGGCAACTGCTAGTCTATTAAGGATTTTTTTTAACCATATGTATGATTTCAATATTGAATTTTCTTTTATATTTTGCATTTTTACAGTACAAATTCATTTTGCAATCCACTTGGGGGGAGGAAGAAGAATTACACATTCAATAAAATAAACAGAACTAATTTGAAAGTAACCTACAAATAACATTTAACGAAATCTAAATCCCTGATCTGACGAAACATACATACCAAATCGCTGATCTTCAGCAAAACACATGAAAAAGCTATGGTCCCTTTTTTTCCAGAGCTGACTCTGCAGGTTCAGCTTACTCAAGAAACAATGGGCTCCCTTGGGCACATTTTTTTTCTCCTAGCCATAATTATTTTTATGCATGCAGAACCAAAAGACAGAATTACAGCTCCAAGGGAAAAAGAAAATGAAGCTCTAACTTTTAGCTGATATTCCATTGGAATCCCCATATAATAGCATAATTTATATAAACATAACAATAGACTGGCTGAATCACAGGAAGTTGTATTCCAGCATCGAGTTTGCGTCTCCCTGCACAGGCACCCATTCACACACAATATAACAAATGCTCATTGCATTAGCAAAATAGCTTGCATGAGAAAAAACTATGCTTGGGGGGGAAAAAAGGTGGGGGGTTGCATAAGGAAAACAAAACCAGATCAGTACATTTGTAGAGGTTTAAGCTTATGCCACTACGGTGGATAAACTCAATCTAGCAGGTACAGTGAAAAGAATGCCAAAGAGAAAATGTCCACCTTTTGAAAATCTCCACCTCATACCCGGAGATGCAAATAGAGGTAAA